CCAGAAGGTAAATGTCATGAAGTAGGTTAACAGAACTTACTGGAAAAGTGCTGTAGTATCTTGTGGTCAGAGGAAGGCAGGATTTGGCTGTGTCACAGAGAGCGAGGCATCCTTATTCCATGTGCTAGATAAATACTTGGCTTCCTTGCTCAAACACGTAAGACTGGCCTGAGCCTATTGGGCACAACATACATGTGCACACGCACACACACAGGCAGTATATGCAGTTATGCATCATGTTTCCTGGTACACAGAGTACAGAGGTGGTGCTGTAGGGATGGCCCTTTTGCTCTAGAGATGTGGTGTCTGAGATACCTGCAGGAGAATGGTTTGATGGCAACAGAGGCTTTTTCCTGTGTCTTGGGGAGTCCTTTAACAGCTGGATTACAGGAAAACAGTTAAGTGGCAAAAATCTTCCCACATACTACAGAATGAAGTTACATATTACTAAGAGTAAAAAAATAATTGCTTTATTCTAAAGAGCTATTGGGAAGCAACATGAAGAAAAGTAGTGATGAAGGACCTGATCTATAGAGCAGGGAATTATTTCTGTCTTTATTCAGATAATTCAGGCCCACTTTGTGTCATTCTTTGACGTGTTATTAAGAAAATAAGGGATAGATCTATACTTTGGACATATATCAAGCATGTGTAAGCGTAATATCCCGTCTGACTCTCTGGAGTTAAATTAGGGTTTCCTTAGGAGAAAAAGGGCAACCTAACATGAACAGTCCAGTGAACACTCGCATCCAGTAATTGCAGCAACTGCCCTGGTGTAAGTAATGCTACCCAGGCTGATTGTCAAGTTTAGGAAGAGAGAGAAATAAAAAAGAAACCATTTGATTTCCAAAGAATAGGCTGTCTCAGCCCAAAGCAACCAGCAAGAGCACTCTCTAAAGGACAATTTGTTTCCAAGCAAAGGAACAGGATTTGGGCTTGGAAGAGGTCATACAAATGCACAAGAAGAACTGGTAAACGCAGAGCAGCTAGAATGGGGTTAGATTAATTTGGATTTACGGTCTTGAAAACCCACATGGAGCCAGTGTCTGAACTCTATCGGTGCTTCAGGCTGTGCTCTTAAAGTAGTCTTTGTGGTCTGTGAAGGTATTTGTGGTCTGTTGGCTTCTTCCTCTAAACCAAATAAAGCATTTTGGATGTTCAGAATGCATTTCTTTACTTACCACTAGGTCAGTTTGATGCAGAAGGCGTACTTCAAAGCTTGAGGAGGTTTCCATGTTCTTTCAAGCCACTGGTGGAATTTACCACTAAAATGTCTCGTATTTCTTTCTAAAATTGCAGGTTTACACCAATGTATCACTCATCTCTGTTTCATTGGCGTGGAAAATCTGAAGTCATAAAACCATGTGTGACTAGAGGACATCAGGATAAACCAGCCAGTAAGAAAGTAAGTGTTGAAACTACCAGAACACTTTTGATAATTTGGTGTTTGAGGTATGGATTTAAATAAATAAAAATTGAATAGGATTTAACTGGGCCTTAGTTGACAACGACCCTCCAACAGTCATAATTAAAATCCTGAAGACTACAGCTGTAGTTTATCTCATTGAATATCTATCTTATCTTTAAATGCAGAGTGCACAGGTTTTAAGGTGACTGTCAAAGGCACAGCTTGAGCCGAAGTCTCTGAGGTTAGCAATCCTTGTGACAGTTACTGTGCCTCATCTTCAGGGAGGCTCAAGCTGTAATGGTGTGTGTGTAGAGAGACCTGGCTCTTGCGTTAGAGGCAAGTGCTGCTGTTCCATCTTTTCTCCAGAGGACAGCATAGGATGATGGTGGCTGCTGTCATGAGCATTCTTCTCATGACTAATCTGAGCCTCATGAGTGTGGTTACTGCAGTCTCCAACTATATTAAAACTAATTCTTTGGCCTCCAAGTGTAGGGCAATTTACTGAAGGAAACTTAGGGCAGCTTTTCTCCACAATGAAAAGGCTTTAAAGAAAGCACTCACTGGTGACTCTGGTGATGGGTGAAGTGTCCATATAGAATAGAACTTGGAAATGAAAGCTTGTATCAGTCCCTTTTATTGTAATCACGTTGATGTCAGCAGATACAGTAAGTGCACACACTGTTGCTGGTCATGGTACCTGTAATTTACAAAGAAACAGTATTTTCAGGGGATTTGGGAGGTTAAAAGTTTAACATAATTTAAAAACATTAAATCCTAAGCTAGCAAGAGGCTATACTACATTTCATAAATGTTTTCATGTTAATTTACTGCAATTTCTTCTGCTTGCCTGAGTATTTAAGCAGAAATTTATTTTGGCACAGTTACCTATTTATAAAACCCAAAGCAGAAAGGGTAGTTAGAACCTTCGTCGGAGGAAGACCCCAGGCCGTATTCCCATCTCTTCCCTAGGGCTGACACAAAGACAGCAGTATCTGCTCTGTCCTGGCGCTGTGTGGCTGGATGGAGCTGCCTGGAAGGGCGGGAGCAGCAGGAGCTGGAGAAGGATCGTCACAGCAGAACCACTGACCTGACCTCGCCTTTTCAGAAACACTGAAAGAAGGTGACACATGCAGTGTCCCAGCATAACCAGCTGCAGGGGTGAGTGACTTACAGCCAGAGCAGCTCCCGCAGAGCCAGACTCAAACAGACTGACCACGGTCAGCAGAGGCTTCAGGGGTCACAAGGCTTTATGGTGTTACATGTTTGGCTGTAAGGATGAAATAGAACAGAGACCTCAAATCCTCCCCGTGTCACCTGAGCACTTATTTCTGTTCACCTTCTGAATTCATTCAAATGGGGTTCTAAGGGCCGTTTGTAAAGCAGCAAAAAGCGTGTTGGGTGCCAAAGAATGGAACAGTTTGTGCAGCAGTGTGTGGAACTATGATAGTTGCTGATTGTTGTAAAATGGAAAATTTATATTGCAGAAGCTCTTTAATTACTTGTGAAAATGTTTGTTAAAAAAAAAAGGTAGGTTGAAATTTGTCATTCTTCCTTCTGGATAATACATCTAATGTTCTTGTATTATAGTAAAAACAGTGAAATACACTTTTATTTTTAAATCTGGTAACAAGAGCTACTTGTCATCTTTTGGTTCATTTCACTGCAATAAAAATGAGAGTTTTGACCCAGAAATGAAGACAAGATTTCCAGTTAGTAACCAGTAACAGCCTCCTTTACTGATGACTTTAAAGTAAGGACAAGGTATTTCAGCTATTCACAAATATTTCTGACATATTACAAAGTAACGTAAGAAAAAAAATCACAATCATATTTGAAGCAAAATAGTTTAAAAATGTTTACAAATGCATTGGGTTTTTTTTCCTTTTCAAAATGTTTGCTGGTACAGTTTTGCTGGCTATCTGTTGGATCAAAGAAACTTCTGCTGTGCATATCCTGCTTTGTTCTAGGGGACAAACTGCAGAAATCTTTTCAGAACAGTACTTAGGGGCTGGGAATACAACCTCTAACCATCTTGCAGTTTTGTCTCTGTGGACTTTGTGCAAGGCTTAACATGAATATTTTTTAATGAGGATTTCAGAACATGATATGAAAGTGATATTTACTTTACATTGTATTTAAGTATTTAAAAGATCTGAGACCCATTTCTTCTATATATACATTATGAAGCTTTAGGGCTGCACCACTAAACAACATTTTATCAATCTTTTGTCATTTTCTTCCATGTTACAATTACTTTTTCAAATTTCAATTGTTAGCAGCAATGATGGTGATGATCCTTCTTTAAAAAATCCCAAACCAAATGCAGAATTCCCTGGGAAACTGCACGCCACATGCATGATACGTAACTGAAAATTTAGTCCAAAGTTCTGATAAATATTTAGTTCCAGCTAGGTCTAATAGCTGTTCTAGTTCTAAAGAATGAAGTGTTTATTATATACAGAAGGGCTGGATGGAATATGAACATTTAACAAAGATCACCGAAGGCATTTCATGGTCTGAATTGCTCATGCAGTGTTACTGTGGCTGCCCTTTTGGCTTGTGCCATCTGTGGGAAGGAAACATTTCTGGTGGGGCCAGTGGGCTCAGTCTTACAAGGTGCAGCATGTTATCTTCTTCAGGCTGCTCAGTCTTCAACTGAACCAGGAGTTTCTTGCAGGATCAAGAGCCCTTTGGGACTTGCTCCTGAGCTAAATGCAAACCTGTACAGCATTAATCAGATGCTGGTTTACATCTAAGGGTTTGGTCTTTTTGCCTTCAGCATATTAGAATGTGAAAAACTGCACCAGTGTTTTTCAATAAGCACCATTAACTGACTTTGGTAAAGTATCTATTGGCACGACCAGCAGGATCAAAGAACATGCTGAACTCCTGTCTTGTACAATAAGAAAGCACAGCTGCCAATTACCTAGCAACTAGAGTCTGTAAATATTAAAACCATAAATATGTTATAACCATACACATATACACAAAACACAGCAGTAGCAATATTACAAAAGGCAGTGCCTACTCTCTCTAACTGCTTTTTGTTAATACCAATGCAACACCAAAATAAATGCTATTGAATAGGAAGCAAACCCTTCTTCAAAGGTTGGTGGCAGTAAGCCAAAGTTCAGGTCCAGGCTCCCATTAATCTGAGGTGACTCTGAAGCTAGATCACTCCCACTGTGTCAAATCTAATCAGTGAAAGAGAAGCACAATGGGAAGATAACAACTATCAGTTAACACTAAAACTTGCTGAGCAGGAGCTTTCTTTTGCCACCATTTGTAATTAATTCTCCCTTTTTCACAAGTGCTCACCAGGCTTAACAGGGGATAACTTTATTACATATGAAATATTATTTAGGGGTAAGGATTAATAGAAACAACCAGCATGGGACTGGAGTTCCTGAATCGTGGGAGATGCTCCTCCATGTTTTTAAGTGAAGTTTCAGTGAGATTGCACTTAGCAGACCACTGGGAAGTTGTCAACTCTCCAACTTTTTCTTCTTTTTCATGCAGTTCTGTTTCAAAGCCTGGTAGGAATAGTACGAGAAGGGCTAGAGGAGACAACTGTGCCAGTCCATTGTCCTTGCTAATGATCTTCAGAGCAGCATCCTCTCCTCAAGATCACATCATCTAGTCCAATATCTCCAGTTCTTCCTTCCCCTTTCTCCCCTTTGAAGATAACCTGGGAAGAGAAATAGAATGATTGGACTGCAAAAAGAAATCAAAATGAAAGAAGCCTTGGTTAAGATATGTCTCAACAAGTAAGAAACCCCAGGCAACCAGAACTGATTCACAGAAGTCTATTTATTTTTGCTCAGAATTATGTCTGTTTTTTCTGTTTCTTTGTTACTATTGCTAAGGTAAAGTTTTTAGAAAATTATCTGTGGTAATTACAGCTTTAATATTGATTTTAGAGCTAAATACTGTGCGTGTGTTGTAGCCTGCTCCTACCATGAACATCATGATGTGTGAGCTTTTTAGACCACCTTACATATAAGTCACAGCAAACCAGGTCCCGAAGCACCTAAGTCCCTTCTTCAAATCTGAAGTAGAAACTACCTTCAAACTAAGCAGTGGTTGAAGAAAAATGCTGAGGTTTTGGTATTTGTTTATCACCAGTGTTTCTAAGCTTTCCAGGTATTAAAAGATTTTCCATGGTGCTTCACACAGCTTGCTTTGATTGCATTAGACCCTTTTGTGTTACTGGCATAGTTAGGTCATCATTTACCTCCTTGGCCAGATCAGCTGCAGGCATACTGAAGAGCAAAAAACTGTGCAAGATTGCACACGTAATCTCCCAGCATTATCAAAAATGACATTTTCAGTATCTTTGCCCTGGTTTAGCCAGTTACTAATCCACAGGGGATGATTCTTCCTATTTCATGGTGCTGTATTATTTAAATCACTGTTCATGAGGAACCTTGATACAGGCCACTGTCCTTTAGACTGCTCTTTCCTACGTGGCGATTCCCTTAAAAACAACTTTATGAGATACCTTAATACAGATAATTTGTCATTTCCTATTTGTCTATTGCTATAGGAGGGATATTTTTTTGCATAAAACTAATATGAGAAAATGCACAATGACTCTTATGCTTAATGTGATTCCATTGGCAGGGATTAAAGGCTGAAATTGGACCCAGAAGACAAACAGTCAAGTGCTACACCCGTCTTAAGTGTCTTCAGCTTCTCGTGTGAAAAAACAAAAAGGCAGCTCATGCACTGGTACTCACACTCTTGATGCCTTGTCCTCGTAAAGTTATGTGTGTCTGTCTCCAGCCATGGCCACCATTCCTTCCCCAGACAGCTGGTCCATGAGCACCGTTTTTCCTTACAAAGACTTGGAGGGTGCCAGAATGCAGCCCAGGCACTTTATGCCTGAACGACAGGCACAAGTCACCGGCCTGAGCCGTGTGGCCCAACGGCAGGATAAGACGCGCTACTCTTCCTCCTTTGCCTTTGGGGTCAGAGATGGTAAGGTACTGCCCGCCTGCAAAAGAAAACCCAGGCAGTTGTGGTGGTTGGGTTTTTTTTAATTCTGTTATGTTGCAGGACCAAATGTACAAGAGTCATTAAAAAGAAAATCAAAACATAAAAAAAGGGCTCCACAAGGTCCAGTGAGCCTTAAACAAGGCAGGGAGTTTCTTGAATGTGAACCAGAACTGATGCACCTGCCTCCTGCAGGGTAAGACTTTTACAGCACTACTCTCCTATTTACATTAGTACCAGGTTATGTCTTACCAATCTAATTTCTGTTTTACAAAGGAAGTAATACCTTTTTTGAAAATGAAAATTTCATTTCTGCAACCACTTGGTGACTGCATGACTTTAAATCCACAGTGACATTAAAGCTTCTGTGTACATATAAACGCCTTGTAAACCGCAGTTTTTTGCTACTGGATAGATGAATAAGAAGGCCAGCATAAATGATACCATGTAATTGAGCTACAGTTCTGTCCCTTTCCTTTTGTTTGGGAACTGTTAACAAGTTAAGTCAAGTATCAAAGCATATCCATTCACAAACACAGATATCTTTTTTTATTTAACCATAATTTAAGCTATTAATCTGGATTAGAAACAGAAAGCTAGAAATGGTATTGGTTTTCAAATGGCTGTTAACTTGGTACACTCCCTGAAGTCTTCTCTAACAGTAAGTAAATTGTCAGTGAACATGCATACTTCATTCAAAACCCTATTTTTATCTCTGATCATGTATGAAGTAAAGGTGCCTTCATAAAAACTCCTAGAACACAAACATGAAGAGTAGATGATCTCAGGTGTGGCAACATCCATTAAACCTAAGGTTAATGAACTTAAGGTAAAGGTTGCATTTAGGCTCCTTAATTGAAACCAATGATGTAGAAATCCTGGGGGATTACAATATTGTTGCTGTACAGAGTCTTTCTTTACTCAATTATAGGATAGAGAAATATTTTTTATTTAAATTGTCACCCTGCTATTAGTCAACCAGAGCTTTATGTTTTTGAAAGCTTCTTTTTGAAAGCCACAATGTTTTCCTCAGAAGGTGTAAGATTTAATGGCACTGAACCAGAGCTTGTTGCACACTGAAAAGGAAAGCCAACCTTGTCTCCAACCCCCTACTACTACACAGGGTTTTAAGTTCTTCAGTCTCAGTGAGATTTAACGAAGCAAGGTATTATAGTGCTGTCTGAGCCCCAGATCTGCGCTTGGGCATGAGGTGGGATCCGTTTGCCCAAGGAGCTGTTACAGTTTTTGGTGGTAGGCTTTTTTTGTGGGTATTTTTAATGCATTGGTTTTGCCTCGAGGTCACTAACTGCTAAAATAAGCATAATAGAGTTTAAATCACTGCACCTGTTTGTTGTAGATACAATTATATCACTGTAAAACTACTGCCTTGACTCATTAACTGCATCTGTTTCAGATAGTTTCAGTGACTGAATCCAATCAATAGGAAACAGATTTAGGTAAGCACAAAGCCAACGCATGCCTGCAGGAAAAGGTCCCCTCACACCAGTATTTTCCGCATGCAAGATAAGCTCGGTAAGGCTCCATTCAGCATGGCACCTTTCCAAATGCAGATTCTGATAAACCAATAAATAGCAAACTTTGAAAGGTGAAAGCAAACACTCAGGAACAAGCTGTGAAAATAAATCCTTGCAACAAGGTATTGCAGACACGAGGGAGTGGGTGGGTGACTTCAAGGGACTAGTTTTAACAGGTTATGTCAACAGCAGCAGAACATACACAGGAAACAAAAATCTGGGATTGTCCCTGGGTGGGAAGCAGCACAGGAGGGAAAAAAAGGCTTAAAAAAAATAAAGCCAGTTAAAAATCATAGTTCTGGAATTTAATATGTATTAACAGCAACTTCTGAGCACAGGTAATGAACGTGCTTTGAGTGACTTTCTCAGACACAAAGTGGTTTTAAGTCCATTTATCAAAAAGATGTTTGGATTATGTGTGATCTTTGTAAATGCCAGCCTGCAAGCAGGAGACAGCTGCCTGTTGTCTCATCTGCAGGAGGAAGGCGCTCTGCTCCCCAAGTCATTCCTGAGACCTTTTAAGTGTTGTAAATCAGCATAGAAGAGACTAGAACATGCATGTGGCGGGGAGGTGGCCTGCCCCATCAGTGAGGACAGTACTTCCACTCAGACGGCTGAACAGCCTGGAAAAGGTGTCAGGTGACCTGCTGCGGTGGCAAACGACTGTCCCATCAATGGCACTGTAAGGCAGACATCTGTGATGAGGTGGTGCATAAGGAAAATGGCTTTCAGTGCCCTCACCCTCTCTCAACTTAACCTGTAACATTTTACCACCTGAGAGCACGTTTCCTTCCAAAGTCCACCATCCCCTCACATAATGTAAGCATTGTGCACTTCAAAGGCTGCTCTTCTGGGTATGAAGTAATCCCATCATTATGGGGAGCCAGAGATGTGTGTCTAATCCCCAGAACCGTGGGGCAGGCTCTGCTAGGGGGAGGGTGTGCAGGCAGGGACAGCCAACCTCTTGGTGCCACACAGTAAAATCAGCAGGGGACAAAATACAACCAAATCCCAGCAGTGCAGATGTGCAGTTCTGCTGGGCTACAGTGGCAGAGGTGAGCGATTACAAGCAGTTGCTGCTTTGGCTTCTCCTATACTGCAAGTGGCAAGTACACGTTCCCTCTGGTATTCATTGCAAGGTCCCTTTATACCATCCCAAACATACTCAGTCTCTGCACACAAGCACCTAACTTGTCTTCATTCCAGTTACTCAACAGTTTTCCTATATACTTGTTGCTGTAACTTGGTGCAAAATTCAATAAAATCAAACTGAGAGGTTAAACTAGAACATTATATTTGGCAGCAGAACAAAGACTATTCCCAGCACATTCTGTGATTTTGTTAGTAATATGGAAATAATATTTGCGTGGTGGTTTGAAAAATAAGCTTTGTTTCACCGTAAATAAAAGTTGTTCTCTAGTCCACATTTTTGTTCTTTTTGATTCAAGACAGATAACCTCTTACTGAATACACTTTTATGCCTTCAGAGGCATTCCTATTGTGAAGATACCAGGTATGATAAAAGTGCAAATTCTCAATTGCTCTTTCATACTGGGAATCCTCAGTTCTGATTTTCACATACAGAAGAGGTGGGAGTGTGATATATGTCCTGGAACTAAAGGGAACAGAAGCTGTGTGAACTCATCATAATGTGAGAACTGTCATCAGCCTCAAGCCTGGGCAGTTCTTCACTACAGGATACAATTGTTCAAAAGTATCTTACCTGACGTGTCTCTCACTGGCTCCCAGTGCAAGTCATCATCTTTATCTTTGATCCATCCGCACAGTCCACTATCAAAATTACAGCTGTGTACCAGCACACCTAGGCATAACAGAGAAAACAGTCAAAACCACCCTAAAAAACCCCAAAACCCAGTGATTTGGATTGTTTTGCTTGGGAAAATACAGCAGTTTCACTTGTGGCTGACCCCAGCAACTAAGTATGAAAATTAAATGCAGAAGAAGAAAAACTACAACAATAAAAAGGATGTTAGTCTTGTTATTAACAATTCACACTATTTTTGTACTAAATCTGTTGTTAGGAAATAAAACTACAAAGGTTCATGTATGTGGTGGGTTTTTCTTTTTATTAAAGCATAGTTTAAACAAGTGGCGTAAGATGTAGGAGTCCTATAAAAACATATAAAACCTCGAGAAATCTCAACAAATCCTAAACCCTGAAGAGGAGATGTGATCTTTACCTGGGTCATCGTTTGCTTCAAATTCATCTGCAGTAATCCCTCTTTCAATTTCAAGTATTTCAAACAGATTATTGCTCACTCCAGGCTGGCGTGGAACTGTGAGAAAAGCAGTTTTTCAGAAATGAATGAGATAAAGGAGATTAGTAACTTACTGCCTTATCTTTAATAAAAAACAGCAGAGCAGCTCTGGGCATCGTGCTTCTCATGGAAGACTCAATATATTTGATTATATTTGACATGAAGATTCATAAACTCTCTGCCTATGTGATTCATGATTTACAGTGTAACATTTACCTGAGCACTGTAAAAGGTGATTCCAAATCGGTTAAAGGCTCTTCAAATGAGAGCTCCTTTTGAACCAGGGGAAAAAAGAAAAAAGGAAAAAGCTTTAACCTTGATGCACACTATTTTCCTCCAAATGCACTTTTAAATATAGTGCTTTCTCAATAAAATAAACCCACATTAGATCCCTCACTCAAACTTTGTGATCCACTCACCTTCCACAGATGTTTACAGGAGAATCTCAACAAGAGGAAGCAGTACTTGGAGGGGCCCACAGGTACCTAACCAACCTTCAGAACTCTGCTTAAGGTACACTCATCTAGCTGCAAAGAATTAGAGCTCCCTAAATCTTGATCAGAATTGCACTGAGACATGAGGAAGAGGAGCTCTAGTGGAAACTCGAATTACACTGCAATCATACTTTCTACTTTCCAGCACAGTCTCTCCGTCAGCTGCTGTTCTCAGCTGCAAGGAGAAGGAACACTCTCCGTGGTTTACAGGCCCAGAGGTCATCATCAGGCATTCAGCAGCCAGGACAACCTGAAGTCTAAGAGGTCTTTGTGGGAATGATGGCTGCCAAAGTCAGGTGGCTACAAAGACTTCCACGTACTTCTGAAGACCCTGTGCCAGGCTAAGTCTCCAGAAACAACAACCAATGTCATGCCTGATGGATAGCTGTCAACTAGAGAGAAACAGATTGCACTGGATAGAGCTGCCTTGGAAATTCCTCTTTTTTAGAGGAGGTCTGGTGCATAATTAATAACTATAGCAATTCAGACATGTCCTTAGATGTTACAGACACCTCTGGCACCTACAGTATTTGTAAGTGACGTATATATTAAAAACTTGACATGTTTTCCATTTGCATTGCTGATCTAAGTATCTTCGTGTCTCTATAGGCTCCTTAGGCAAGCAAGAACAAGAATTGAGATGATTTACTGAAATAAAAGACTTGTTTTCAGGAAATCAAATCAAAGGTAAGAAGGAACTACTTTTGCACCAGGAGAACATGTAAATAGCACCTCTGCAAGAGCTCCTCTAAAGGCAAGAGACAGAGGAAAACAAAAAGTAAGAATCAAGGAGTTTCTTGCTTTCTGGAATTACGACAAAATGATCAGCCTGACAAAAAGGTTGATCAAATGCTAATGTATTTTAAAATTAATACTATTTTGTATAATTAAATAAAACACTTGAAGTCTGTAGGAAACCAATTAACGCCTTAATTTTAAGAATCAATACATCTCCTTTTTTAATCTTTTATAGATTTTAGATTATGTCTGTTTGCAGTCTAGGATATTAATGCTCCCGCAGCCTCAAGGACTTTAGGCTGGCTTGGGCCGCAAAGGCCTCAGTTGTTTGCAATAGTGTTTTTGATGCTTTGTTTAACGTGATTTTTTTTTTTTTTTGCTTAAATGATTAGAATTTTGAGAGCAACATGAAAGAAGCCTTACGAGTGTGCAGTACATTCATGCACAAATACTATATTCAATTATATAAAAGAAAAAGCATCTGTTTACCTCAGGCAGCAAAAAATCAAAACAGGAATGCTCCAAACCATCATTCACTCACGTTTAATCCCTCACAAAAGTACACTGCTCTTTCCTAAGAACAATCTCTTGTGTAGGCAGGACAGTTGAGTAAGCACATGATTCAGCAGCAGTCACACCTGCACAGCAGTGCTTACGGCGGTACAAGCTCTTCTGACGTATAGCAGCATACACACTCTCACACTGCTCTAACTGCACTACAGTCACAGACAACTGTAAGCAGGAGCTTATGGAGTAGATACGTGTGTGAACTGTCCATGTTCACGCATGTGTCTAGGTGGTGGCCTAGACCACCACTGCTATGGTGCATGCAGTAGCTATGAACACTGTTCAAATTCAGCTGCAGTGGGTTTGCTCAAGGATGTTAAAAACTCGTAACTCAATTTCTCGAGCTTACTGTGGGCAGCCACCTGGGACAGCAAATTTTGCAGAAGTGTTTACTTACAAAGCCTGCTAAGCCAACAGCAGCCTGTAAGTTACCAGCCAGTAAGTTACCTGCAGCCATTTCTGACAGGACAGTGCCTTAGACAAGCCCTCATAGAAGAGTTTCACCTCACATTACAACCATGCTGCCGGCTGCTGCTCCCCATGGAATGCATCAGTCCCCATGCATGAGACACATCTATGCTGCACCCACAGGGACTATCACTGTGCTTTTCCTCTTCTTGGGCTGTGCTAAGGTAAACAGGTCCTGTACATTTCCTACACTATCAAGAACAAGTTAGCCATTCGCTTCACAGCTGCTGAGCACAGTGTACGTACTGTGGCTACTACTCTGGAATGGACACACAGCCTTTTCTTGCAGCATCTTTACATCTGCCACATCCTCACGTCACAGGGATGGAAAGAGGCCAGCTCACAGCAGCAGGCAGGACAAGCGAGCTGCCCTCTTCCTGAGCTGCCAGGAGGAGTCTAGCCCATGAGGAACCCCACAGTGCCATCACCCCCGGACCAGCACACAACCACCAGTGTTGGGATGCCCGCATCCCCTTCTCATCTAAGTTAACACTGAACTTGACCCTCTGCACCTCTGTATCTTCCTCTTCTTCCCCTGCACCTTCAGTTTTTCTTAGGGACCGAAGGCTCAAACCACAGACTCACAGACAGGTAGTTACAAGGCTGTAAATGAACACTGTGGAAGAGAGCGTGGAGGAAACCTACCACCTTGCTCTTTGTAGGATACTCGGGTCACAGTCTCAATTCCCTTCCCAGTCCCCCATAGCTCTTGTTTATGGAAAATACTGCAGGAAATATTAGGAATTTGTTCTCAAAATTACTTCAGTTTACTTACTTAATACCATTTCTAATGCACTGCTACTTTATACAAATCTGAATTCCATCTGTGCACATATACAAGCATTCTCCAAATTAAAGTTGATATATTAGCCTATATAATTAAAGCTCCACAAAAGAAACACTTCTTCAAAACGTTTCCCTAAATTCCTCTCTGAGCACTGTTGTTATGAACTTCTAGAAGAATGTGTTGCAAAGCTTTAAGGTAGTCACTTTAGTGCTCAGACCCAATTAAAGGAATGTGCACTTGATATGAAACAAGAGTTACCATAAGAGATGCAGGACTCTAAATACAACCCATGTGTACACTTCTTTTTGCTGCGACAACTAATACGTTGAGTAGTGATCATGGGAGAGAGTATTTGGCTCAATTATTTTCTGCAAGCTTTCCAAACCCTTTCTGTGTGCTTTATATAGCATATCAGTGTGCTTTTCACTTAACTTCAATGGTTTGATAAAGCTTGTTAAATATAAACTTGGCCTCTTTTTCTTGGAGAATTTTATAAGTTCTGAGTGAGCCAATACATCAACACTACCATATTCTCAAAGTTCATGAGCTAAGTTCTTCACAGATGCATGAATGTGGGGGGGAGAACATTTAATAACTGCATAAGACTGCTTTCTTTTCAGTTTCTTAATTCTTTGGGAAAACAGCAGGACTTTTTTTTTTTTTCATTTCTTTGTTAATTGCTGAGTTTGGGAGTATAAGAGACAGTGTGTACATGTCAGGTTATTTGTAAATACAGAATAAGCATTGTTTTAGTGTTACAATCCCCCAAAAAATGTGCAGTGCATCTTTATGTTATTAATAATTGTTACTAAGAATGCAGTGTTCTGCCTTGCAACAATCACTGTGTTCTTACACAGTTCCATTCCATGCAATAATCATGACCAAACTTCCCATTTGTTAAAAACAACCAAAACAAAGGACAAAGATTTTTAACTGAATAGTTACAATTGAAAGTTGTTAAATTCCACTTCCAAAAAAAACCCCACAAGTGATGAGATATCATGCAGAACTAGCAGAAAATAGCTATAAGAAAGGGCAGTCCAGAGGTCGGTCAGACTTGGTAAACAAGAATACATCCTCTGTGCCTCCAGAGAAGACACTGATATATGCTGGGCTAAAAAGAAGGGGCAACAGAGAGGTACACTTCACCCATTTTATTGGATACCCGCAGTGCCCAGGATATGTTGCCTAAAACTCCAGAGACTCTATTTCTGTAGTGGGAATTATTGCAGGAAGGGCTTTCATGGACTGACCCACCCTCTACACTACCGTTTGCATATAATGGGAGAGACTGTGCTAGTGTGCAACCACTCTGCAGTCCAATCTTGCATTTCTCAGGCAGTTACAAGGCTCATTAACTCTGATCTAAACAAAACATCTTATTACATATCTTTCCAGAAGATTTTCTGAAAAGTAACCTGTCTGCTTTTCTATGAGCACAGCCATTCAGGAGGTGCACAGTGCCACCTGAGTTCCAGGGAAAGACAGCTAAAACAAGTAGTCTACAGAAGCTTGCGTATCAGATCTAGCTGGAAGATTTACAGCAGAGGGTGTCATCTGTAAGTCTCCTAGATCTTATGATTTGATTTAGGTCCAGATTACAAACAGGAACCAAGTGCCTATCATCTTCGATATTTAAATATTAAGACAAGTACATTTTATTAGACGTATTATTTAATAGATGTCATCTTTAATAGAAGACAAACAAAATGCTATTGTAAAATGATGCTACTCTACTGGTATCATGGAATAAAAAAACCCCACATTCTTTGGTTTTAGTATTTTCCTTTTTTTAACATGTTCAAGAATCACGTAGCTGCATTTACTGTAGTAAGGACTTTTTAGTTACTGAAAGGGGATCAGAAAGAATCAAGTTTTAATCCAATCTTTAATTTTTTTAATAGTTGTTATGAGAAAAATCTCGTAATACCAATCTGTTCAGCTCCACTAAGGACTAAGAAGGAAAGCTGCCAAACTATCTTTTTACAATGATAAGGGGTTTTGTTCATGTTCTGCTGATATCTCATATTATGCTTTAAGTTTATGCTTTTAATGCTTATCACCCAGATCCTGATGGCAGCAGAAATTCATTGTCTTATTGAGCAGTTCATTCTATATCCATCTGAGTAACCAGGAAAGATTCCTCTGTACCTCGCTGTAGTTTCTATCAGCCCTGAAATAGTTAAATATTAAGCCATTGCTGCATTCCTCCCTCATTGCCATTCCCCCCATATCCATATCAGGAGAAGATTATCCTTGGTGCCAGATTCCACTGTCTGCATCTGACTAAGTGGTTCAAAGGCCAAGTGTAGGAATTCAATTTTCAAAAATACTCATTTTTTTGTTCTCTTAAAAGGAGCTCCCCAAAGTCACTGCAGCTTCTTAGGAAACACGTAAAGCATCTAAGGAAAAGCAACAAGCCAGTACCTTTCAAAAATTGCAAAGGCATTTAGATAACATTATCAGCATTATTATAATTTGTGCTCTTTGCAGCCACTGAACAGACCAATTTCACTGGTCCTCAGATGACTTCAAGCTGAGCAGCACATTAAAGAGTGCTCTGAAGTGAATGCTTAGGACAAGTTTACTCAGCGTGTGGGACTGCAGGTCAAATAACAATGGAGAAAACAGGGAGCAATGAGTCACCAAGGGTAAGATCAGAAAGAGATTCAATAATGAAAACTTAATGCTTGCAGAAAACAAACACTCTTGCCCAGGTGTGCTTCCTCTTCTGATGTGGACCAATCCTAGACCACCAAGTATGTTTGCAGGATTTGGCCTACTACACTAGGACACCTATCAGTGCACAGTGCACCAACAACCCCTTTGCCATGGATTGCCCAACAGAAGTACCACCTACTCAGATAGCTACACAACGCAGCATTACTGTCATGCTGCTTTGTCAAAGTCTGGCTAAGGGTTCAGAGCCTGAGGGAGAAAAAAAAAAATGAAGGAAAAAGCCCATGCATCATCAGATAACCTGGTTTAAAGACACAACTTTAAATATTGAGGTCCTCAGCAGATGCTAAGAGCTGGAAGATCAGAATTTCTAGTGGTTGCTGGCTACAGTGCTCTCTGTGCTGGGTTTTGCCCATCCTTATGTGGTAAAATGCTACATTTTGTGATTCTCTGGGGTACAACAGCCCTTGGCAACACATGAGGAAGCACCCATCTAAGAAAACACCATAAATCTTCTGAATACTGTACAAAACTGAATTCCTACTTCTCCCCTTCCCCACAAACTCCTACAATATCAGGATTCAATAGGTGAAGTAATACCTTACTCTACAAGCAATGCTTTCCTTGACATGGTAGCACATTCTTCTGGAACAGAACTGGTTTGCACCCAGCTGTGGGTTTCATATCCTAAACAAAGGCTTTTATGTACTCACTACATAAATGCCTCTAGACAGGGAGAAGGTGAGAGGGGACCCAGCAACTACCTAGATTATCCTTTCAAAGTGGCCAGAAGATAAGAGAGGGGGACAAAAGTGGAAAGGAGAGCATAAGAGATAAAAGAGAGAGGAGAAAAGGCACCAGCTTCATTAAGGATCACATTACTATCATCATGCAAACTTCTATAATCTAGAGCACAAGTGGAGTATGCCTTCAGTTACACGGTTATGTCACATACACATGTGTATCAAGTATATCTTTAGCAGGGGACAGCAAAAATAATATGGGATTAAAGACACATATCTATTGACTTGATCTGAGGGGCTGTCTGTCCCTCTGTTACCTACTCAGGCCAGTAACAGTTGCTGGAGCTTGACCTGTTGAAATCCTGCTGTACTGTGCAAGAAAGGCTTTGAAGCTATGTATATCACCAACCTCAAAGGGTGGCAGCTGACCTAATTAAAAAGTTGATAAACACTTTGCAAAGATGATTTTTCCCATGTTTGTTATGTATACCATAATGTAAGCTTACAGTCAGAACCCAAACTTAAAACACATCTATTTTCCTACTTCCCAAACCCCTGTATCTGAAGAACATGTACTGAAAGCATTACCTGCAAAATATAGCCTCTAGGGACAATCCAGAAAGACTAATTGCAAATGATAAGCTTTATATAGGGGATTGTTACAACTTCATGAAAATAGCTTAAAACTATCCCTCTGATTTAGAATTCAAGATAACACTTGCAGCATGAGACATTTGGGAAGCGTAATGCTAGAGTCTAGAATAATTTCCACAGAACTCTGTATTTTTAATGACTGGTTCCAATTATATTAAGTTTTGGGAGTCTTTACTATATTTCTTTTTAGAATCTTACATAAAAATGCTTTTATATTTTTAACTGAATATAGATTGTTTAAAAAAATAACATTGAAAAAAGCAAAAGCACACTCCTCTGAGTAGTACCAGGATTTATCTTCACAAATTCTAAGTCAGCTTTTGTCTCTATTTTAAACTTATTGAACTGTCTACAATAGATAAAATGTCAACAGGGAAAACAAACCGTTTTTCACAAGGAACAAAAAATTTCCCTGTGTAACAACATACGAGAGCATAGCCCAAGAAGTTACTGCACAGATGCCAAAACAACCGGAAAAACACCCCCACGTTGCTTGTACACCTGCTCTGAGACAGCAAACTTTTCCTCCTACTACACTGGTTCTTTTTTGTTCAGCAGCTTCATTGTACAACAAGCTGAAGGAGAAGGACTGATCCAACCATCCTCCCTGTCTTTAAAATTAGATGCAGAAATTGGGTGTTGAGTATTTCTTGGCAGATATGTGTAACTCTTGCACATGCCAGTAATGTCTTCCACGGTATGCACTGAGGCTGGTGTAGAAATGGTGCTGCTGATTTCAGAGAAGCTCTTAAAATGATATGTGTTCATGCTATGAGAATCTTTACTATCTTCAGTTTTTCATGTATCCGTTTTCATAGCTGCACTCTATAAAATTAGCCTCTGTGTTATTTTTACACAATTTTCCCACTGTCTAGTCATAAACATCCAAAACTATTTAAATTCGTACACTACAGGTGATAAAACATCTAGACATGCTCCCATTTCTTACCATTCTTAAAGGTATGGAAATATGCTGAGAGTGACTCCAACTCTCTGAATTTGAATCCATTGACCATTTATGAGTTATGTTGCATTTCAATAGTGTTCAATAAAATGTCTTTCATTTCTCCAAAACTTTTTTCTGAAGGTATAGTTAGGTTATCCACTTATACAAGACAATATACTCACAAATAATCGCAGGAAGAAAAGTGAAAGTTTGGGTTGAACTGATTCAGAACTTTCTCCCCACATTTTTGTTAGGTAATGAAATCAATTACTTGTGCAGCTTTACCTTATGACCATATTTAGTTTTATGTCTTTGTTCTCACTGATAAAGTGTTCCAAAAACCCCAAACAGTACAGTGCATACTTTCACCTCACTGCATCTAGAATTCTGATAAATGAAAGCATATGTAAGATTACTTACTGAACACATCTCCTCGGGGTTTCTGAGGGTCTACCTGGATCCTGTTGTCATCTGTAATTCCTTGGGAAGATGTAGTTTCAATGGGAACATGTGAAGGCTCTTCAGTTGTTATCTGGGGAGTGGTTTGTGGTGGTAGTGTAGGTCTTAATGTTGTAGGTTGAGGTGGTGTTGGAGGTGGAGGCCTTGTTACCGGCCTTGTTGTCACTGGCACATACCTAGGGGTTGGCTTTGCTGTCAGTTGAGTTGTTGGCCTGGGTGTAGGTTGAGTTGTTGGCCTGGGCATAGGTCGAGTCGTTGGCCTGGGTGTAGGTTGAGTTGTTGGCCTGAGTATAGGTCGAGTTGTTGGCCTGGGTGTAGGTCGAGTTGTTGGCCTGGGTGTAGGTTGAGTTGTTGGCCTGGGTGTAGGTTGAGTTGTTGGCCTGATCACTGGTCTTTCTGTAACAACAGCAGGTACAGGGTCTGAGGGGTTGCTTTGTGCCTCCAACCTCAGGAATTCTATTGGTTAAACCATTGTCTCCTTTAGGGAGAGTGCTGTTGCCCTTGAATATATGATATGGATCAGGTGGTTCAATCATAACATTAGGAATAACTGCAAAAAGAATCAAAATGGGACCAAAATGGACATCTGAATCCTTACTCCAGAAACTTAGCAATATGTTTCATTATGACACAAGAGTCTTTGCTGAAATAATTTCTCTTCTTCTGAATGTTTCCACTACTTAGAAACATACTTTGGCATCAGCACTGCTGAATTATCACATCTGTTTAGAAAGCATTTCTCATTACACCAGTTTAGAGATGATTTAGAACGGCTGAAAGCCATCCCCACCTCCTCCCAAGCATCAGCTCTCTGGAAGCATTGGCAAAACTTACCCAGAAATGCTGTTAGTAAAAAAGCATGTGAGTTAGGCAGCCCTCTAAACTGGACAAGTTTGTACTCAGGAGCAGAAGCAAGTTTAGTAAGACTCCAATGTTACAACTACTTTAGTCACGGATAGGCATATAGCTTTGGCTTAAGAAAGTTATCTTTCAGACCTCCCCGCTTCTTCTAAGCTTTTCTTCTTGTCAGTAAGCATTAATCATTTTACAGATATTAAACCCAAGCAAATAGCCTTCATTTAGATCCTTACCTTTGCCAAACACCAGGAAACTAAGTAAATGGCACTTTTTCAACCTCCATGAAATAGAGGTGAAATGAGCACCACCTACACCATGGTGACAGTGCCTACAGTACCATCTCCCCAGTATCTTATAAAGAAAAGACAACAAATTTTAACTTGGTTTAACAAGGTCAGTTTCTGCAGACATGAAACATGAGAACATCTGTTTTGTTATTTGTCATTTTCTATTTGCTAGTAAGCTTTTTATATCACACCGGAGATCTTAAAAGACACAGTAAGAACTCCAGTCACATATTTTGTGTATGAGTGTTTCAAGTATAACCCGCAGCTAAAATGAAGAAATACTGTTTGTTAAACAATTAATTGTTTGATGATAGTAAGTTAAAAGGTTTTCTCTCTGGCCACCTGTTTATCACTATTCTTTTGAATATCCTGTGGGTTTCACATTATGGTATATTAAAATCTAAAACGCACCTTGGGACTATGTCCAGTAACACGTGTGGAGTGTCTCCACATATAATTGCAAGCACTCAGGTTGGGAAAAATCACCTTAGCCAGACAGCTATAGCTGAAGGAAACAAGTCTGCAATGGTACTGCTCTTCAAAGAGATCAGTGAGTCACCAAAGACCAAAACACAGATATGAACTCAGGGTCCTCAAAAAGATTCAACAGATATGATAGAGCTGCACAGTCTGGAGTGATGTCAAGCGTGGCCAATTCTTTACCAAGGGGGGCGGCTGCTTCTCCCAAGAAAGAGAAAGGTGAGGAAGGGAATTTGTCCAGAGAAATCCTCCCTCTTGGCTCCGCTCACATCTGGGAAGCAATGGGGAGTGGATGGGGTGAGCAGCTGAAATGGGGCAATTGCAGAGTGCATGTAACAACAGAGTATGAGTAATATGTATCGTTTGACCAGACGTACCCTTCTTACTCAGTTGTTCTCATCCTGAAGCAATCTCTAGAATCCAGCTGTGAATAGGGAGAGGTGAATTTCTTTCTAATTATGAAAATGTGTCAGGGAAAGGTATTTTTAACAAGGCATGCCAAGACTCAGAAAACTCTGACTACATTCCCTGGCCCCTTATTAAGTATTAAAAATAGGTAAGAGAAACTAAGCCTGATAGTGCTGTATCTCAAACTTTACAACATAGGACACATTTACTTTCAGAATTCCTTTCTTTTAAAAGGAGCATTACATACGTATGCAGTTTGTTCCATTGTCTCTGTACCCTTCTTTACACTTGCATTTGTAGGATCCAGGGATATTGTAACATCGTGAAAAACTACCACACTGATGGTGCCCAAGGGAACATTCATCTATATCTGCAACAGAAAGTTACATAAAAAAAAACATCTGCATCAAAGAAATTTGACTTGCCCCTGCAAAAACACAGACAGAAGTATGGTCATTAGGAAAATCTATTGATTTTGAAAAGTTTAATAAAACTGAATTGCCAAAGGGAAAAGGAAGATAGTCACAAATCAATGTAGTGATACAAATGTGAGGGTAAAAGGGACTATTGTGCAACTCTGGTATTGATCAGCTTATATCTTAGCATCAGTTTCAATGATGTGCTGTGGGTAGATTGCAGTTGAGATCATGAAGATCACAATTTTAATAAACACTTCTACAGGTGACATGATAAGAAAAGAAAAATTGAGTGTTGGAATTCATATGTTCTTAATCACAAAGGCATCAAACCATTTTTTCATTAAATGCTTCCTCTATTATACATCTGTGCAAATGTTTCTACATCAAGTAGAAACTGCTTGAAACATCTAATACGGCATTTCCATGTTTGTTGTAAGTGATGCAAGCAAATATCCCCAAATTCCAGTGCTCTGCACAGAGATTTCTCTTGAAAAAGTACACTGAAACAAACATAAAGCAATGCTTCATTGTCTCCACACGATCTTTTTTTCAGTGAAAGGTCCATACCCCGTTGAGGCACTGGGAAACTAAGACAGTGGGACCTGGGAACATCTTTGTTGAAGGTCATACACCAGCTGAATTCCAGTCTCATGTCCAAAGACAGGTTATTTCCCAGCCCCTGCCTCTTCCCCACCTGTCTTCAGGGGAAAGAAAGAAAGTTAGGCAGCCAGGTTTGGAAGGAGCTGGGGTCTGCTCTAGCCGCATCATTTTATCTTGGATGTTGGGGCATGCTACGGGGCACACCTGTGTTACAGCTTAGACATAGCCTAAGCTCATACAGTACTTCAAACCCAGAACTGCCTGTGCACAGTGAATCTTGCGGGGACAAGGGCTTTGGAAAGGCCTAAAACAACCTGCTTCAACATTTCAACCATAAGTAAACATTCTTCTTTAAATCATTAATTTCAGTTTAGAATATACAGCTCTATTACATGCAAGAAATAAGTTGTTAGTACCATGGCATTGGTATTTGCCTCCGATGTACATTAGATCAAAGCCTTTGTGACACCTGCAAATGTAGCTTCCAAAAGTATTCACGCAGTGCCTAAATTGTGGACAGATGACTCTCCCAGTAGCACATTCATCAATATCTGTGGAAACAAAAGAACTGCATTATTCTTAACAGCAGTTAAAATCCGATGTATACTGTCTAAATTAAACTGGGTTTACATAATGAATACCTAAAGAAGAATAAGCAAAGTATTTTTGATAAGGTCCTTTTGGCTACAAGTTGGCCAGCAAACAGGAATACCTCGCCACTTTCTCCGGCTGTGCCATCTTAGTTCAGCTCTTGGTCACACACCCTGATTTTTATGGCTCCATAGCCACAAGCCTTTACAAATACTGTGAGTGACAAGAGATGCACTGGCATAACGAGCGTTGCTACTGAATTTGGAATGCTTGCTCTATGCTTTTGCCATCCTTCTGCTTGGTGAAGGTACCCTTCTCCTTGGAGAGGAGACATTCTCTAATTCCCCACAGAACACACAATAGCTTCTTCATGGCCTCAAAACACTCTTCCTTGAAATTTTCATGGTATTTGTCTGAAGAAAAGCTATTTTCTGTTATTTCTATAACTTTCTTTTGTCTCACTAAGCCCTGCCTGGTTATAAAGGCAGCACCTGGATTTACAGGCATGGAATAATAATAAACACTACCCCACTAGTTCTTTTTCTGAAACATGACTGAAATACTGTTCCTGTAGCACAGATCATGCACACATATCCAAAGTACATCACCCTGCAGCAGGAAGTGGTTTGTTTTTTTTAAATCTCAGGTGTCCCTAATCCATGACCTGCCTATCATGAAATCTTCATCTGCTCAGGACTTGCTCTAAACAGAGAGTTCAAGCTAATGCCAGGGGTGCAGTATTTCTGGGTCTCCTACCAGTTAGTTGCCGCAGGCAAAATGCTTTTTGAGTACATGCTCTGTGCAATCTCTTCCCCTGCACAGTGCCTGTGCTGTAGCTGACCCCTCTCTCAAAGAGGTTGGTTACCTAAATGACCTTAAAACCTCCCTGAGGTGCTGATATACATGGCTCCCCTTTGCCCTGTCAGGGGCTATCAGCAGTACCTGAAGCAATACTTCAGCAAGTGACGTCCAGGCAAGGACAGAGGAGCAGGAAGACACAGGCGATGCTTAGTAAGTGTTTGGTGCCCTTCATCTCCCAGAAGCCACTGCTCTTCATGCTGACTAACAAGCCAGGCAGAGGCCCAAGAAGCAGCCGATGCTCACCCAGTGCTGCTTTCACTGTCTGAGAAACTCTCAGATGAGGTCAGGCTGATACACAAAAGCTGCTTGTGCTACCACTCGCTATGTAGCGCTGGTACATTGAGCTGAAGTCTGCCAAGTTCTTAAATCCTAATTCTTCACTGAGGCAGAGACCTGCCATGCACGGCTGCCTCTGACACATGCCGCTCCTGACGTTTGTTGGTTATCTACAGGGCACAGTTCAAGCCTTTGCTCTGCAGCTCTATCAGGCTCTTGATCTATGCGGAAGCAAGGTTTTCTCCATCCAATTCTTTAACCCAAAGGAGCACTTCAGCTGCAGGTGTCAAGAGTGCAAAACAAAGCTGAGCGATGCACTGCTACTCGTCTAAGAGGCCTGAACGAGCCAGAGAGAAGCCTGAATCTCTTGCACTGCGGAGAAAACACATTACCACAAAACTGCTGGTTGCTTAGAGTAGCTACTCAAGGCAGGGAAGATACAGCTTCAGAATCTCCAAAGCTGTGCTTCCCGCAGCCAAAAGAAGTGACTTAAAGCTATGAATCACTGGCTAGATGGGCTCTCCCAGTAGCTCCTGCTGGCCATGTCCCATTTGGCATGAAGAATTTTGCATGAAGGACAGCAAGGGTTCATCCCCTGAGTTCCCACACTCCTGGCCTGTCAGACTGCTCTGACATAGCAGCTCTCCTTTACTCTCCATCAAGAGTACTTCTGCAATGCTGTGGTAAAGGCCTGAATGACAGAGGGAACAAGGCCAATACTGGGCATCTCTCCACACACCTGAATCTCCCTATAAATCGGCCTCTTGATTTGAATCTATTATTAACGTTTTAGTCTTTGAGTACAGTGTTACAAATTCTACCATGTTTCTCACTGCCATTTAATTTACAAGCCACAATTTTCTACCCTTCATTAAAATGTTATTTCAAGGCTGCAAATTTCGGACTCGTGATTACTGTTTAGTTGGGGTTCTTCGTTGGGGCTTTTTTCTTCTTTAAACCACAACTTCAAAATACAATCTAGTAAGAAAAAGATCAGCTGCTGAACAGACCTCATCATGGCAGGGATTATGTTCTTTAAAAACGAATGTAGCCTGTCTGTCTTCCCTCTGTACATACTCATGTTTTTGCAAATTCCCATAGGGCAAGAAGTATGTTAGATGCTAAGAGCATTGTAGGGGTATCATTTAATTTTCTAGGCAGTTACACATTCTAAAGATACAGGACTGAACTGCTAAGCAAAACACTGTTGAACACTGACACAAAAATAGTGGAAAATAGAACAGTCCACCACTTGCACTTAGGATGAGATGTGCGTGGATGCTTGTTGCTGGTGGAAAAAACACTTTTCAATCATTAGCTACAAGATGGTATGCAAGTGTTTACAAACTGGTTTTCTGCAGCTCTCAGATACTCAGATACAGAGACTGTGGCTTCTTTCAAGTCCATGGACCCGTGCCAGTTCACACCTGGACCAAATGGTATAAAGCTGTTTGTCCGCCACAACATGCTGTGGCTTGTACCTGCTTCCTCTGAAAACCAGGGCATGAAGGGGTGATTTGTATTCTCATCTCAGCCTGGTCTACCACAGATGTGCATGCCCAGACTTAGTGCCAGGGAGCTGTTCCAAAGGCACATAACACAGGCAGCACCTAATGAGTGTGATGGTCAGTGTTCAACAAAGAAGTCAAATTACAAAGTCTTGCTTCTCTTTTGCTGTTGCGACCATACTACCAACACAAGTACTAAACGACTATGAGATTGATTTAAAAATAGTATTCTAAGGCCATATTTTCATCTTTACACAAACAAACCAACTAGAAAATATTTACTTTACCGTAAAGATAATTCTTTTCAGTCCTCAAGTAATCTCAGACCTTCTGAAAATGTGTAAACTGCTTAATTTCATTAAATGAAAATCCCAATCCAAAAACCTGGCAACACTGATTGATTTGTTGATTCAAGAGTCATGAATCATAGTTAATCCATATTTTCACTCAATACTCTGCTGAATTATTTTTCAATTCATTACTTAGTTTATACGATTTACCTTCACAGTCAAATTTTTGGTGGCTCTTTACTGATTGTCTGGAGGGAACATTTTAACAAGAGAATGATCAGCATGGGTTAAACTAAGACTAGAACAATGCCTAGAGGAATTTCCACCTGTGCTAAAAATAAGCATTACATTCCCAGCTGTCTTTCAGACTTTCTTCAAAAGAAGGATTTTATGAGCTGCAGCCAATGCACACTTCAGGTTTTTTACCATCATCTACACTTCTGTTTGTACTGCAGCAATATCCAGACCCTCACCGGAGCTGACAACCTCTCCAACAGGGACAGGCTTGTACACATGTGAGGAAAAGGCACAATTCCTAGTCCCAAATAGCTTCAATTCCTGGAGGTATTTACCGCAACTCAAACTTGAGAGAGAACACAAAAAGGGTGCAAAAAAGGGGAGCAGATCATGTTATGACCCATAAAGAACAGCCAGACATCTCTTGCTGTGACTACTTTCTCTGCATTGTACGGGGCTGCTCTGAAACTTTTTTGGAAGCTTTTAAAAACTAGTTTATGAGCTCAATCTGAATTATGCACACCCAACTGAAATGTGGATACACTGGTTCTTCACCTTTCTGGGGGAAAAAAAGTATTCTTTTGAAAACTACACCAAAGAACTGAAAGAACTTCATATAACTGGTTTGAGTGCTAGACTTCAGCATTGAAAGTGCACTGTATTTCAAAGTATGAAGTTTGCCTGAATATAAAAATGAGAAAAAGGATCTTGCAAGTATTTTTCTGGTAAATTTCTGTATTTGGTATAATTTCCTTGAGACTGTACTTAAACCATTCAGCTCACTATGGCATGGCACAAGCCTTTTCAAAGATCTCTGCCACAATGTCCCCAGTGATTAATCACAATTCAGTCCCCTCTCAGCATGTTACAACTATGGGTTTTTCATCCTGTTCTTCCCATTCTTTTGCATAGACAGACGTGCCAAACATGCACTTCAGAAAGCCTCTGCCTTACAGCTGAGGCTGCTCCTAACATCAGAAGATCTAGAATCTGTTCCTTTCTCTGCCAACAAATTCTTGGTCAGTATGGGTCAGCCACTTGGAGAACCACCTCCCCTATGGACAGCCATGATACCCAAATGGATGATTAAGGCATCCACATTCTCTTAGATTCTTTCAGTCCAAGTGTTGTTACTGGTTATAGCCAGTAGCACTGCATAGGATATAAGTAATAAAATCACCGGAGCATCATATCCACTCCAGATGTATAGTTAATAACTAATGAAATCACATGTCACACTGTTCTTCAGACCGTAGTATAGTGTGGCATATACACCCTGATTAATCATAAGCACCTTTTCCACATTCATGAATGTGGGAACAAAACATTTCACTTTCAGACAGTCTGAATTCCTGAGTTTATATTAATCTGGAGCTTTCACAGTATGGAAGAAAGACAGTAGCTTCAATCCCATTAATACTGGGAGTGTGCATGGACCTTCACCTTGTCCAAGAATAATCTCAATGATTTACTCAAATCCCTCCACCTCTGAGCCTAGGCACCACCGTGCTGTGTATGAGGGAGAGATTACCTCCCCATTCCCTTTTTTTTCATGCAGGCTGGTAATTTGGAGTCTCTGTTAGCAATAGTTTAAAACGACTGAGTGACAAGAGTCATAAGGGCTGAGAGCTTGGATACCAAGCAGCCTGTGTGGGCTTTAAGCAATCAATGAAACTTGCAGGACTGGAGGAAAGCACTCATGATCTCTGACACAGACCACCTGAGCGCACCTGAGCAACATGCCTGTCCCAGCTCTCATTAGTAACATCTGTAAACTGCATGTATGATGCATTCTAAATACATCTAAAACTCTCTTGAACTGCATCCGATGTAAGGATAAAAACATTTTGGAGAAAAAGAAGATTAACCTACATTTGACCACCTACCTATGCAAGTCCTGCCGTCAGGCCCTAGCTGTAGTCCTGGAGAAGGACAGCGGCAGCGCACTTCCCCTTTCAGCACATCACAGCCATACTGACAGTTTGCCATCAAGCAAGAAAGAGCATCTAGGGAAAAATAGTTGAACATATTTAGATAATGGCCCTGATCAGTACCAGAAAATGACTGAAAACTGTGGAGAATTAAGACATTATTTAATTATGACAGAAGTGGAAAAATGCTCGTTGAATTTGACAGGTATCCATTCAGGCTTTAAGGAGCAAACACATACTTAGTAAATTTTTACTTTCCACAAATTGCATCTCTAGGGGGAAAAAATAAAATACATAAAATCACCACAATTGTAGCATATTCCTTATGGAATGCAGCCCCCATGATGAACACGAAGCCTCCTAGATGGCACTGCCATTTTAAAATAAGAGTATTTCTACTTAAAAGTAATTTCTCCCCCCTTCTCTCTGTCCAAACACTCAAAATATCCACTTTCATGGGAGCAAGTAGGAACCTGATCTCCAGCGAGATGACAGTACAATTTTATACCAGTCAAACAACCAACATCTGCAGCTTTAATGATTTTACATTCATAAGGGCATAATACAACAGAGCTGCAGATGTCTTGCCGCAATGAAAACTGCAAGCACTTGTCCCTGAAGGCCAATTAACATGATTTACAGCACTGAAGAATGCTTGGGGGGAAATGTGTAATAAAACTAATAAAATCAAAATATTTGCTCTAGTTTTGTTCAGCCTAATTTCATTAGAAAAAAAAGAAGTTCATATTGTGCAACTGCCTCATTTCCAGCAAGATCAGTCTTTTACTCATCTTCATTTCATCAAAGTTTCCCAGGGAAACTTAAGCAGGGATTTTGAGGAGCTTGGAAAAAAGCAAGCAACAAGCCTTGCCGTACTTGAGCACGTTCCATCTGGCATAAGCATGTAGCCGTTCAGACAGTAGCACTTGTAGCTCCCGAAGGTATTCATACACCGGTGTTTGCACGGCCGCGGCTTTAGCCCACACTCATTTAGATCTAAAATGAAGGGTACAAGGGAAGGGGGTGGGAAAAGAAAACATACCAAGTTTGTGTGACAAAACTACTAGTTCAAGTTCCTGGGGAAAGAAGGAAAAAATATGGCAATGAGCTTTTTATATGCAGTCTAGCTGACAGCAAGTATGCAGAACATCCTGCATGAAGCACTGTGCACCCCTCCTGCCAAGTGGTGTATTTTCTGTTTCACAGATATCCTTTCAAAAATGACAGTATTTGCATGAGATTAAACACCAATACAAGTGTCATTAGGGAACACACAAGCTCAGGCTGCCCACATCTTGCCACTATTCACATTGATGCCATGTCCAGGACCAGCCAGAACTGTGGAGAAAGAGGAGGGAGAAAGCAAATGTCACTGCTGCAATCGCTATCAGTGATTTTGATAGCGATTCAGTGATCCTCTATCATGCTTCAAAATTAGTTGCAGAGGAAGGTAGGAAAGCTGATGCTAACCTACTTCAAACGATCTTACAGAGAAAATTTATTCCTTACCATCTAGAAAATACTGACAAAAGTATCTGGCATCAGCGATATTTGTCAAGGACTATCCATAAAGGCTATTACAGTTTAATACAGAATTCACACCTTAAACTGAAAATATTCAGCCTACAATTTTCATATTGGTAGAATAGGCTTCTAACAAGAAGTGAAGATTGAGTGAGGGTTTCCTTCAGAATTCTCTTCCAAGAATACATGTTGGGTTTATTTGAATAAACCAGAATAATTTGTTACTTAGTTATTTGTGTACTGATAAGTAAAAATGGCAATAAAGGTGAAAATAATAAATCTGCTCACAAACCCAGCCAGCAAGTACTTAAACAACTGAGTCACCAACTCTCATCTCCAGTACTGCACAATGATGCCTGGAGGTCTGTTACAGTAAGGGAGTCACTGTTATTTCCAGGAATCTTTCAGAGAGCCATCTCCACTATTAAGCACTTTCTCAACAAGTGTCACTTTACAAAATAAATGTGTAACAGAGCTAAGTATAAAATACTCAACTAAAAGCAGGGAGAAAGGGAATGCTGAAATTAAGCTGACAGAGCAGGTATTTAACAGTGTCTGGGCTAATTTCTAGTGCTTACATCCCACTGCATATCAGCTCTTAAGTTTAGCTCCTGAAGACTTTACCTTTAAGAACTGTCTTGCACTTATTTCCAGAGCCACAACCACAGATCCAAAGTTGAAAACAATAAGAATTTATGACTGTTCTCAGTTCGCTGCCTTGCATAAAGTATAGATTGCATTATGAGCCTTAAATAATTGGATCTTTCTATAGAACTCTGAATAGAACACCACCATCTGGTATGAAATATTCTTAGTACAGAAATGAAAGCTCTGGTACTGACAAATAGACAGCTATTAGTAACACACCCTGAGAATAACTTGATATTAAAAAGTTGATGCAATCAACTGTATTAGGATATCACACCACATGCTTCCTGTTTGTGGAATTTTGACTGAATTATTTCTATTGCCTTCACTTCATTCTATTCCTGCCTGTGAACAGATGCTGTTACATCAGCTTTTGACTCCTTTGATTCACATCTTAAAAAACATGCTGAAAGTAAAATGCCTGTGCCATGAAAAGGTCAAAAATTTTTAACCTTGGCTGAGGTAACAGAAAGCTGAGGTCGCAAGGCGGCAGAAATAGGCTGTTAGCACAACTCCACTTAAACCTAAACTTCATGGGTCACAGCTTTTCAATTTTGCCTTTGAAATGAGTTATTGAGAGAAAGATGTTTCTAACCTTATGTAGTTGAATGAATGCTACTGTTTAGGAAAACAAATACTGGCAGTGCTGTGGCTGCTTAAGAGAGAAGCCAGCCTGTAAATAGGTTAGGTGTGTTAAGAGCGTAGTGCTCAGCCCATCCTATTTTCCAAAAAATGTGCCTTATTTTCCCAAAAAGTTGCAAAAATGTAACTTTTCTTCTTTTCACCAGCACAGACAGGCGCATACTCAGTAACTGCATGACAAGCATTTCTCAGTTTCCTAGGAGGCACATTGTACAATTAGGTCCTACTGGTTCTACATAAAGGCCTTTGTGAACATGCTGATGGCTCCATGCATCCATAATCTCTAACAGCATGCTTCCCTAAGAAGAGTCCGGATGTACTGCACATGGACTGGAGGAGTGCCGAAACACTCCTGCTATTAATATACTCTATCTGTTTATGTGTTTCTCATTCCTTAAGTAAGGTCTATTTTTTCAAGAACAGGTTCAGGCTAATGTTAGCAGTAAAAAAATCATACCTCTTGAACAAATGCTAGTCACTTATCAATTAGGTATTTCAAGCAATGTCTATAAAGGCATCTCAATATAAATGTCTATGCGTCAAAATAGGAAATGAGAAAACAGTAGAAGTTTCCTCTAAAAAAATTGCAATCTAAAATGTTACACCCAAAGGACAATAGCATTTTACACCATTTTTCTTTTAAATAAAATATAATCTTTAAAGTCACTTATAACCTTCACACTGGAAATTAAAATATAAAGCCCAGCACTACCATAAGTTTAACCAATCCATTTAATTTCCTTACAGGAATGTCCACTCATTGTCTTGCACTTGAGAATTTCATAGTGCAGCCACTTAAATTCCCATGCTGCCCACAGCTGTACATTCAATGCAAAACCAGCATTCTTAATTTCAAAATAACATAAGACAGTACTGTACATAAAAGCAAACTGACTATGGAAAGCAGGTCTACAGCGTAAGTGCATGCTGCTGAGCACAAGTATTTTATTTTTAAAGAAATTAAATGAAAATGTGAATGCAGGGAAAGGACAAGAGTGCTGTGCTGGCAAATTCGGATGCGACTTCTTTTTCTACTGTGTGACACCACACATGATCTTTGATAATGAGCGACTTCAGTGCAAACATAGCAATGGGGGGCTTATTCCTAGGAAGATGCAATACACTCTGCTGTCTTCTTTAATTAGCTTCTGCAGAAGACTCCAGCATTCAGATCTTTTTGGCCTTTTTCTGCCTATTAACTAACTTGGATCAGACAACACAGAATTCAAATATTCAATATGAAATTCACTCAGACTTTGAAAATAGAAAACCAGGCATGAGAAACCAAGTTAAAAAATTAAACTGTTATCGCCTCACTATAAACAGTAGATAGGCTTTCATTTCCAGCAACTAACATCACACTACCATGTCCAACTTATGAGAGGAGACTTGTATCACCCTGAGAGTTTTGTTCACATCATTTAGTCTGATTAATCAACAGCTGCCAAATGGAGAGGTTAACAACCCTCCTTTCTTCAACTTCCAGCTTTGTGTAAATCACAGTTTTGTGTTTATCTAACTTGATAAGCAATCTCCATCACTCTCTCTTTACAGAGGAACTCAAAAACAAACAAAAAGTACAGACCCTGAAAGAAGAGCAGAGGAAAGAAACAAAAGCAAGTTACAACCATGAGTATGGTGGAGAGTCAAGCCTTTTCAGAACACAGGCACAGAGCATCAAGGAAATACAATCAGCTATTTGCTCTGCATGCCAATGACGCAACAGGTTCAGCTTCTGCATCACAGCCGTCGGCCTATTAGCCTCCAACCCCTTTGCAAGAAATTGTATTAGCGTTTCAAGCCGTGCAGGTAGAAGGAGCACACCACCTGAAATACAGCACCATCTCACCCCTTGATGCTATATTTCTTGCATGATGATCCAGGGGGTGGAATACAAGTGCTTCACTGCTCTGACCAGGTGGACTTGTATATAGCTGGTCATCTTCACAGGATGGGAAGAAGGCATAATAAAAATTAAATTACCAGATCTTTGTAATATGCATTACTTCATCACTAAAAGGGAAAGAACAAACAAAAAACACCCACACACCCAAATATAAAATATAT